AATAGGATTTCTTCATGATCTCTTCAATGAAGTAATTTTATTTTTATAGCTTTGTGTGCAGTAATGTGTACCTATATAATTTCTGAGCTCTTCACCGCCCCCCCCAGGGTAGAGCTGGGAACAACATGAGTGTATGTGTTTATACAATTCCCATAACTTTGTTCATACCTTAACTCGCACTAATTATCTAGTTATCCCAGTGTTTTGTGAAACATGTTACAAAAGATAATCTTTTTCTAGTTTAGAAACTTTCAAGGCTTTATCTGAACAATCTCCATCAAGCCCCCATAGAATGTTTAAAATTTGAACACAGCTCCGTTTTTATCCTCAAGGGGATGTGAGCTGGAATGATGTAACTAAAAATAGCCTAAGTAGATGCAGGAACTGATGGAGCGAGTCGCAGTGTGCACATTGGGTTACAGCAGCTATGACTCTGCTTAACGGAATTGAGCCTTTCTGCCTCTTCTCCTTGATCTCGGTGATAATTACTCATTGGGGTATGAGAGATTTCAAATCTGCTTCCTACTAGAGATAAATAATATTACCTTCTTTAAAAAAAAAAAAACGGACATGTGCCTTCCCATTTTCCATGTCATATACTGTGTCACACAGTATATGTCTGTATGGATATGTCTGATAGCTATTCGGGGGACTTAGAGCATTTTGAAAAGAAAGTAGTCTCAATGGTAGCAATACTTTGGAACATTTGGGCTTGGATTTTTGTCTTGTTTGTCACTTAATGAGCATACCCAGCGCTCATACTTTATGCCATTGGGATGCAAAGATAAATAACGTAATGCCACATTTCAGGAAGCCTACCAGTATCCCACATTCAAACTCCTGATCATAGCACAGGTTGAGTGTCCTATCTGACATGCTTGGGACCAAAAGTGTTTCAGAGTTGCTGTTTATTGTTGTTTTGGTGTGGGTTTTTTCCTCCCAGATTTGGGACTTTGTCTATATAATGAGGGTCTTTGGAAATGAGGCCCAAATCAAAACATGGAATTCATTTTTTTTTCATATACCCCTCACTCACATATCTGAAGGTAATTTCATGTTGTAATTGTCCAAATCTTGTTGTACCTACGTTTTGACTGCCACCTGTTACCTGAGATCATGTATAGAATTTCTCATTTGTGGCATCTTGTTGGTACTCAAACGCCCACAGATTTTGTGCCATTGCAGATTTTTCCATTAAAAGTGCTCAATCTGCATGGCAAGTGAAAACATGTAAAAGCTGAATTCTGAGAAGAAAGGTAAAGGAAGCAGTAACTTTGAATTTGGCTTCATTGTATTAAGTCAGGTGTCACTACAGAAGGGACAGAGGAAGGAGGCGGGGCTATGTGTATAAACATACTATGTAAATACTTTTCATATACTTTGCCCTCTGTATGTCCCTTGTGGAAGAGGCTAATTTAGCACTCATTCCCACCCATCCTTCTGCCTTGACAGAGGCACCATGGATTCTAGGAAAACTAAATACATAAATATTGACAAACTTATAACATAGCCTGGCCAACTGGCCCTGTTTAGAAATATGTAGAAATAGTTCTATCTTCCAAATGAGAAACAGATATACTTGCTATTGACTCCTTGTTCTTGGCTTCAAAAGAACCCTTTTAGTTGTGCCCAGGTCAACCACTCTGAGATATTAGGAGACTTGAATGTGGAGTTGAATGTGGAGATGTGGTTGAGTTCCCAGTCACTACCTACCTCAAGTCAACTTATGTAAGGAAACAAAACCTTCTCCTAAGTCATTGTTAGAGTTTCCTACTGCAGCTGGACACACCCCCAGCTGATGCAAGTATAAATGATGTACACATGTAGCATGTGCTCACTTCATGTCTTACTGTTAAATCTCGGTAGTTCTTGAGATGCCTGTCTTTATTATTGCATAATAATCAGACCTGTCTTGATTATTGCATTTGGTATGATAATCTGTGTTCAGTAACCTTTGCTATTATACTTGTTTTGAAACACTATAAGCTTTAGTATATGTGTGTGTTCTTGTGGCTCCATCAGCCAATCATTCGTCCATCTCCCTCCCTCTCCAAGGGACTTGTTCTCTGAGCTACAATATTTAAAATAGATTCACTCTACTGTCACTTCCATGTATTTAAGCAAAAGGGAGGGCTGTGTGTCTCTCATTTCAAATCAAAAGCTGGAGACAATTAAACTAAGCAAGGAAAGTATATGTAAAGCCAAGAAAGACTAAAAGTTTGTCTCCCCCCCCCCAACCAAATAGCCCAGTTGTGACTATCATTCTTAGAGGAAGTTAAAGTCTAGTTCCAATGAACACATGAGTGATACAAAGCAAAACAATATCCTGATGCTGATATGGAGAATGTCTTCGTAGTTTGTTAGGAAATTAGATCTACTGAGGCTTTCCTCTGAGCCAAAGCCTAATTCAAAGCAAGCTCCTGGCATGGGTGGTTCAGTGGTAGAATTCTCCACCCTCAGAGCAAGCTCTTAACCTCTTCAGTTCTGTGAAGGCAAATAGAGATAAGGAAGCTGCAGAGAAGAGTTCAAGTCCAGCAGGTTGGCCCAAGTGCTTTAAATGGAGAGTTCATCTCCATACATGGAAGTTCCAGGTCAACCAGCAATGCTGATGCAGAAGCTTTAACAAGATATCCATCCAGAAGGTCCAGTGGGAATGGTTGATGAAGTTGACATTATTATCAAAAAGATTTTCAGTGAAGTCCAAACAAGCTTTTATTGAAAAAATAAGAAGCCATCCAAAACACTGATAGTTAGAGAGGAGAAATCAATGCCTGGCTTCTAAGGGACAAAATTAAGACAAATGCAGCTGGTGACTAAGATAAACCAGTGCTCATTTGCCATTCTGAAAGTCTTTGGCCCTTTAAGGGTGATACTATAGTGAATCTACTCTGCCTGTGTGAAGCAACAAGCCTGGGTGACATATCTGTTTATAACATGGCATGCTGAACATTTGATACCCATTACTGAGACGTGCAGCTCAGAGAAAAAATAATTTAAAATGTTATTGCTCATTGACAATGCACCTGGCCAGGCAATGATTTTAACAGACTTATAAACATAAGAAGATTAATGTTTTCATGCTTGCCAACACGACATTCACTGAGAAGCCCACAAATCAAGGAGCAAGCTCAACTTTTAAGGCTTATTACCTAAGAAATGCTTTCTATAAAGGATATAGGCGCCATAGTGATTCACCGATGCATCTGGGTAAATTGAGAGGCTTTTGAAAACAATTCACCATCGTGCCAGTGTGGTTCATTGTGGTTCACAGCACATGTAAGAACCATGAGAAAGGATGATTCCAGATCTCAGAGATTCATGACTTCCAGGAAGGGAGTGACTGCATATGTGGCAGGCATAGCAAAAGAATTGGAGGCTGCAAATGAATTTCTATAGTCATGTGATAAACTTTAATGGATGAGCCAAAAACCAAACAAAGCAAAACTGATTTCTTGCAGTGGGATCTATCACTGATAAGGATGCTATGAAAATTGTTGAAATGATAGCTGAAGATTTAGAATGTTCCAGACACTTGGTTGGGAAGGTAGTGGCAAGGTTTGAGATGATTGAGTCCAATACTTTGAAAAAAGGTCTGCTGTGAATAAAAGACAGTCAAACAGCATTGCATGCTGCCGAGAAAACAGTTCATGGAATGAATAAATCACGTGGCAGATTCCATTGTCTTATTTTAATTGGCAAGCCTCTTCGGCAGACATGTCAGAAGCCATCAGCATCAAGGCAAGATGCTTCATTGGCAAAAAACATTTTGACTCCAGAAGGCTCAGGTGACCATTAACATGTTCTAGCAATAGAGTATTTTGAATAAAAATACTTGCATTGTTTTTTAGTTTTTTTTGTTTTGTTTTGTTTTGTTTTGTTTTGTTTTGTTTTTGGTTTTTTTGTTTTGTTTTGTTTTTTTGGCATTACCCACTAAATGGGCTATAGTGTAGTATAAGCATAAGATGTATTTTCTGAAATAAAAAAACAAAAAGTTCATGTAACTTGCTTCATTAAGATTTTTGATGTGTTGTTATCTTAGGGTTTCTGTTGCTGTGAAGAGACACCATGACCACAGCAACTCTTATAAAGGAAAAGTGTTTAATGGGGGTTATATTTCCAGAGGTTTAATCCATTATCATCATAGTGCAGCATGGAAGTATGCAGGCAGACATGGTGCTGGAGGAGTGGCCAAGTCCTACATCTTGTCTTGCAAGCAACAGGATGTGGTCTGTTTCACTGGGCATGGCTTGAACATATAAGAGCTATCAAAGCCCACCTCCACACTGACACACTTCCTCCAACAAGACCACACCTACTCCAAGGCCACACCTAGCCTAATAGGGCCATTCCCTTTGAGGGCCATTTTCTTTCAAACCACCACAATTGCAGCATCCCTGAGGTATGAATCTATTCATTATGTTAGGTTTCATGTGAAAGACAGAGCCCTGTACACTAGAGCCCTGTGATGGTCTCACCTTCCAGCACACAAATCTAAGGCCATGTGGGAAACACTCAGACTGTGTTTTCTTAGAGACTCATGCTGTTGCCCAGTTTATTGTTCCCACCTCATCACATTGAGTTCTATTATGTCTGTGTTTCCTGACACTGCGTCAAAGTGAAATTTAATCTGGTTTTAAACAGGTCAAGATTGTTTCTCCCTGACTTGTTTTCAGTAGCCACCTATTGTAGTCAGTCCTTTATAGCTGACTTTTCAAAACCCCTTGTTTGGAGTAGGGGTGTGGATTTAGGGTTTGTTATTGTTTTATGAATCAGATCCTTACTTTGAAAGGGTTAAGGGAAAACGGCTTCAGGGAGTCTCATTCTCAACCAAAACTACTGGATTAAAGTCAGGGATCCTTAAGAAAGAAAAACAGGATGGTTGGCATGTATGCCCAAGTCCATGAGTTACCTTTGTCTCTTATTTTAACGTATTTCATCCTCTGTTCTTACCCAGTAAGTAGTTTTCCCCTTCAAATTTTTAACTTTTTTTTTTCTTCCAGAATCTTCAGCTACTTGGAGCTACAGCCATTGAAGATAAATTGCAAGACCAAGTGCCTGAAACCATAGAAACTCTCATGAAAGCTGACATCAAAATATGGATCCTTACTGGGGACAAGCAAGAAACTGCCATTAATATTGGTAATTCACCCCACTCACATCTTAAATCTCAATACTGTCTAACAGACCAGTGTGTTTTAGTGAGATGAATTAAAGAGGTATTCAAAACTTGAGGCTGGGGACATTGATGACAAGGGCTTTTGTCTAAGCATGAGACAGTTAATCTGAACAGATTCAAGAGGAGGGATGGAACTATAGGAAAAACAACAAAGCCAGTCTCAGTGGGCTATGTCCCCCTTGTAAGAAGCCCCACCCTCCAACCGGAGCAGGTACATGACATTATTGCCCTTTCCCATAGTGAACTTCTCAGCTTTATGTATTTTTATATCTAATGTACTTAATTCTAACAGACTGAAATGTAAGAAATGGCAGCTTCTAAGAAAGCTTCTTCCTGTTCCAGAAAGGAGGTTATCTCTGACTGTCCCAAGGGTGGTCTCCTGGCTAGTTTCTTGTCAGCTTGACACAAGCTAGAGTATTTGGAAAGAGGAATGTTGTGAAATATTAGTTTAACTATGTATAGATGTGTTGCTGTTTTTCCTTGCCTGCCTAAGGCACCTGATTGGTCTAATAAAAAAAGCTGAATGACCAATAGTGAGGGAAGAAGTATAGATGGGACTCTGAGCAGGGAGAGTAAGCAGGGGGAGGAATTTAGGCTCAAAGAAAAGAAAGACAAAGAAATGCCAAAGGAGACACCAGGGGCCAGGCAGACAGATAATAGAGAAAGCAGGAAAGTAGGGCATACTGATTGAAAGGTAAAAAGCCCTGAGGCAAAATATAGATGAATAGAGAGACAGGTTAAATTAAATTAAAAGCCTAAGCTAAGGCAAAGCATTCATAACTAATAATTAGTCCCCATGTCTTTATTTGGGAGCTGGTTGGCAGCCCAAAGAAAAAGTTTTAACTACAGAGGAATGTTGGTGAAGAAGATGCCTCTGTCAGTTTGCCTATAGGCAAGGCTGTAGGGCTTTTCTTGACGAATGCCACCCCTGGCTCATGGTTCTAAATGATGCAAGAAAGCAGACTGAACAAACCATGGGGAACAAGCCTGTAAGCTAGTGTTCCTCAACAGCTTCTGCCTCCAGGTTTCTTCCTTGAGTTCCTGCCCTGACTTTCTTAGAAGATGGACTATAATATAGAACTAAAAGGTTAAATAAACCCTTTTCTCCCCAAGTTGCTTTTGGTCAAGGTGTTCATCACAGGACTGGGATCTTAGATGGCAAGAGGAGTAGAAACCATAGACTAAGACATGTAGTCTGAGGACCAAAGGCATCCCTGTGCCTCCACCACTCTAGTGAGCCTCCTTCTGAGGGAAGGAACTTACTTCCCACTTCTGCTTTCTCACCTGCTGAAATAAACCTTGACACCTTGCTTGCTGTACCTGCCCCCTAGTGTGAATTCTTCTGGAACACAAAAGCTGAGATCGCTGCTGTAGTTGGGATCAGAGAGAACACGGGAGGAGGCAACCTCTCCTCATCCATAACAAGATATTTTAAGACTTGATATTTCAAGACTCTAAATGTATAATGTTATTAGGCTCACCTATTTGTTTACTTGTGGCCCCAAGTTTTAAAGTTGCAGTGGTTTTGTGTACAGCCAGACTAGCTCGTACAACCACACATGTGCTCTCAGACCCTGCATCTTGCCCATCAGTGGCACATGAATGTAACAATTCTGCAGTTGTCCTTAAAGGTCTAGAAATTGTCCCAGTGAAATGTTTATGTGCTAGATCTTCTTGCTATGGGCAGAAGTTGTTTCTAACATATGACTGTTCACTTCCATCTAATAGTCAATTACCAATTGTTTTGCAAAGTGTTTGTCCTCTCAAGCTGCTATAATAGAGTATCACAGGCTATCTGGCTTAAACAAAAGAAATGTATTTCTCACAAATTTGGAAAGTAGAAATGTGAAATTTGAGGCATTACATGAGTATTCAGACCATAGTAGGCCATGACTTTATTTAACCTAATTACCTCCTTAAAGGCTCCATATCCATATGCAGACCACAGTGGATAGAGTCAAGGCTTTAACATATACATTTGAGGATGGGGGAGACACAGTGTGATTTGTAATACAAGTCTCACAAAGAATAAAGTATTTGGTGTTGTTCAAAACCTGTAGTACTAGTATTATGGAAAAGGGAGAATCATTTTTCCAGGCTCAGTAACCACGGATGGATAGCCCAAGCACTGTAAGACAGAGGTTCACGTCTATGTACTGCTCATACACATTATATACAAAAACCCCCTAAGTTGAACATTCATGGTATACATAGCATGGAGCCACACTTTTAGAAGGTCATTGTTAAGGTATCTTCATCTTTAGTACATTTAGTTAATAGTCCATTTAGAAGTTTTAGCACACAGCCTAAATTGTTCTTGGAATAGAAAAACTATACCACAAACACATAGTAAATTTGTATTTGTATTAGGGTTTTCTAGAGGAACAGAACTTGTAATATATATATATATATATATATATATATATATATATATATATATTTATGTAAAATTCACCACTTATCTGATCTATATATATCATATACATGACATATAATAAATATATATTATGTATATTCATTCTACAAGTTTTGTCCCCTAGATATACAGATACAGATATATAGGGAATATATTAGAATGACATACAGGCTGTGGTCCAGCTAATCCAACAATGGCTGTCTACCAATGGAGAGTCCAAGAATCTAGTAGTTGTTCAGTCCAAAAGGCTGCATGTTTCAGCTAGTCTTCAACATATGTCAGAATCCCAAAGAAGCAGGCTCTAATTCCAGCAAAGAAGCAAACTTGCTATCAAGGGTGAGAGCAAACGGGCAATAAGCTTTCTTCTTTCATATCTTTTATGTAGAGTGCCAGCAGACATTGTGACCAAGATTAAAGGTGGGTCTTCCTACCTCAAAAGATCCATATTAACTGTGGGTCTTCTTACTTCAAGTGGTGGTGGTGCACACCTTTAGTCCCAGCACTCGGGAGACAGAGGCAAGTAGATCTTTGTGAGTTCGAGACCAGCCTGGTCTACAAGAGCTAGTTCCAGGACAGGCTCCAAAGCTACAGAGAAACCCAGCCTCAAAAAAACAAAAATAAAAAATAAAAAAGAAAGAAAGAAAGAAAGGAAGAAAGGAAGGAAGGAAGGAAGGAAGGAAGAGAAAATCCATCACAGGTGTGCCCAGTTGCTTGGGTTTTAGTTAATTCCAGTTGTAGTCAAGTTGACAGGGAGTAGCCATCACAAAATCTGTGTAATTAATAGAGTTTGTATTTATTGAATTTTTAGGTTAGCATACAGGCAGTGGGTTTGATTGTGGCTTCTCATACTAGCGTTTCTTCCTTTGTTCCACTGCCCTCCTGTGCCTCCTGCCCCCTCTACTGGTTCCCTTCCTACCCCCAATAGTATGCCCTTTCTGCTTTCCTATCACAAGGGTTCATTACTCTGTTTCCCCTTCTTAAGACTATTTCCTCCTTCTCAGGACCCCTTTCTAGTTTCATGGGAGGAGATAGGCCATTGCACAGAGGGAAATCAGGAAGATCTCATGCAAAAGCTGACATTTGAGGAAAGACCTGGAGGAGGAGGAGTTTGCTGTAGGTTGCAAGGCAGCAGCTGTCTGTTGCAAAGAGAATGAGAGTGCCTGCAGAGATGCACACATAAGAGCGTGCGGGGGGGGGGGGGGGGGGGGGGATGGGGACCTTAGAGAGCCTCTGGGTTTCCTCTTAGTGACAGGGAAGACACAGGATGATACTCTGCAGGCAAAGACGTGATGCGTTTCCCGTGGACACAGACTGCATGTCAGAGTGACATCAGTCTTGGAAAGCCAGCATAGAAGCAGAGTAGTCAGTGGAGACACTGCCATGTTGATTGGGGGGGGGGGGGCGGGTATGATGGGTTTGACCAAATGATATTTGTCAGAGGTGGCTGGTATCCCAATTTTTTTACATTTTTTTTAATTGAAAAATAGAATTTTTCTAATGTAACATCTACTGATTATAGTTTCCCTTCTCTCTACTCCTCCCAGTTTCTCCCCATCTTCCCTCCCATCTGGACCCAGCCCCTCTCCGTCCCTCATTAGAAAACAAACAACCTTCTGGGGAAATAATAATAATAAGATAAAATAAAAACGAATACATTGGAATAGAACAAAACAGAAAAAAAAAAAGAGCCCAAAAAAAGATATAATAAGCATGTAAATGCAGAAATCCAATCACTCCCACCCTTGGAAATCCCATAGAAACACTAAACGGGAAGCTATCAAATACATGTAAAGGAACAATAAAAAGAGGAAAATATATAAATAAAAAAATAAATAACATTAAAAGTAATTCTTAACCCCTGGCATGGCATTATGGAACAAGGAACCTCCAAAGATGCTATTGAATTGTTCTCTGTTGGCTATCTATACTGAACATGCAGCTATCCTTACAAACACTTTGTTTCTCCAGTGGGACTCCCTTGGAGAAAACTAAGTTTTCATTTGCAGGTAGTTACCAATTGGAGCTAGCTTCTGAATTAGGGGTGGAGGCATGGGTCCACTTCTCCTTTCAGCTCTAGGATACCTTCTGGTGCAGACCAGGATAGGCCCTGTGCATATTTGTCTTTGTGTCTGTGAGTTCGCATGCACTCAGATCCTGTTGATATAGAAGGCCTGGTTTCCTTGGTATCCTCCATCCCCTCTGGCTGTTACACTCTTCTGCCTCCTCTTCCCCAGAGTTCCCTGAGCCCTGAGGCAAGGGATCTGATGGAGACATCCTATTTAGTGCTGAATGTTCCAAGGTCTGTCATTCCTTGCATCAGGTCTGGCTGTGGTCTCAGCATTTGTTCCCATCTGCTACAGGGGGAAGCTTCTCTGATGATGGCTGAGCAAGGCACTGAGATTACAGAGGCAATGAGTGTAAATGATGCTGTCATAATTTTTGTTATTGTGAGATGAGTCAGGTAGGGTTTCTTCAGCTATATCAACTGTATCAAACTGATAGAGAATAGGCAGGCATGGATTTAATGAAGGGAACACAGCATGTAATAGAAAGAACAACAAGAAAATGATGCCATGACCCTCCAGGACAGGGAGATAGTGGGGCCAGGAGGTCCAAGAGAGTCACCCACCCTCCTGAACCTTCTCTGCAAACATCACTGGTCCAGCCTTTACTCTTCATATTGGCCACCACAAAGGATGCAAGTGCAAGGGCATGGCCACTTTCAGGGCTTGGAGAGACTCGGCACAATTGTCCCACGTTGTTTCTCCAGGCAGCTGCAAGTGATGTTCTTCCCTCATATCCTTCCTAACGGCCAACAATAACATTTCATTTTTACCTTCTTATGAGTCTGCAAAGCAATTGTTATCCCTTCCCTCTCCATGAAAATGCTCTGTAGGTGTTTGATCACGCCATTGCTTTGCCAGCTTCACTTCTTTCCGGAAAAGCTAATGATGCCTATGTATTGTGTGTCCCTAGGACACTCCTGCAGACTGCTGAAGAAGAACATGGGGATGATTGTTATAAACGAAGCCTCTCTTGATGTAAGTGACTTTCCTTGTCAGCGCCTTCCTTTGTTTCTACATCTGGTGTGAGGTTAAGACACCTTTGTATACTTTTAATACCATAGTTCTGCTTTAACTGTGTGTACAGCTTTGAACAACACTAATGTAAACTGACTCATGCCTTACACATGTGTTAGCTAGAAGAAATTGCCATCTGGTTTCCTTAATGTTAGAAGACAGAAAAGCTACTACACAAAAACCCAGGCCAGTGGGTTGCCAATGGCCTGTGGCTCTTTCATGTAGAATATTGCATTTTGTGTATTAAGCCTTTTATATCTTCTTTAGCTTCCAATGTTGAGACAAAATAACCATGCCTGCTCCAAAGAGTTCTTATTGTTTTTGTTTTTGTGAGTGTTTTTCTTTTTTCTTTTTTTTTGTTTTTTTTCTTTTTAATGCCTAACTACAAGGATGAAATATTCAGCAGAATAATATGTAGGACAAATGACCTGTAAATACTTTAAGTCAAGGTGACTACTTGTAATTTAAGGTGGAAGACAAAACAGGGGAGGAGGTGATTTTACACCTGCTTAAAATAGTCATTATGATGCAAAAAGCAGAGAGGAGCATAGATAATTAAGGATTGGGTGAAGCTGCAAGGCCACCTGTCTGTGGTGAGAGATGGTGAAGAAGTCATTGGGGAGAATGCTTAGAAGTTGGCTATGGGACAGAAATTCTCTGTAAGATTTTACTTACATATTAAAACACACGTTTCCATTGCTTAACTTCAGAACCCGATACCCTTTCCTTTTCTTGTGACGTCTTCCATCACCTGCAGTGGGGTGTGGTTTTGCAGCTGTGTCATCATGACTCTGCAGCCTGTGCTCTTCTGCAGTCTTCCTGCCTTCATATATGTTAGCTTTGGGTTGCCAGAGCCAAGATGCTATCTTGGGAACAATGACCAAGTCAGCCTGACCTTCAAAAGCTGACACATAAGAAGTGAAGATGCACAAATAATAGCACAAAACAGATATGGAGGTGAGGAAGAGGTCTGCTATGCATAGGGCTTCTGTGACATGTTAGGATATGTTCATAAAGCAGATAATAGCCAGTCACTGGGTGAGGGGGAATATTTGAAGCAGAAAGTCCTTGCAGTGAAGATCAAGCCATACTTGGAGAGTAGAAAAGGGAACATTGCACTTGAACGTAAGATTATAACTTGTTAAGGACTGTTGTTGGAGTAAGTAGAAGCATGTAGTGTAGATTTTCAGTTCCAGGAAACAGTACAGGTCATAGAGAGTGGGCTGTCTATGTTTGAGCTAAATTTTATCTTACCACTGTGCCTTTGCCCAGAGAGCTTTCCTTAGTTGATGGATGCTTCTCCATGTACATACTCTAACTGGGTTTTGGTTTTTGTTGCTGTTGTTGCCTTTACATTTCTTCATTTACTCACTGTGTGTGGAGGTCAGAGGGCAACTTGCAGGAGTCAGTTCTGTTCTTCTACCACCTGGATTTCAGGGCTCAAACTCAGGTCAGCAGGCTTGGCAGCCAAGTGCTCTTACTCACTGAGCCTTCTGGCTAGTCCATACTCCTTACTGTTAGAAACCAACAATGCAGTTAAGGATTCCTGCAGAGGACCCAGGTTCAGCTCCAGCACCCATGTGGCAGTTTACAACCCTGACTCCAGTTCGAAAGGGTCCAATGCCTTTCATACATGGAGGCATACACTTATATACATGAAACAAATAAAATTTAAAACAAATTTTAAAAATCACATTACACTCTGCACATTGCTATTTGTGCCTTGCTTTTTTGTGCTTGCTATTATCTTAGCCAATGTTTATGTGTCTGTGTGATGCATATATGAAACCACTTAATTCTCTACTAGCTGTGACTTGGTCCTTGCAAGAAACCTAGAAAGAAATGACAGAGTTAGAACTGGGAAGGTCATCTCCAGCCAACTGGGGCATACTGCGTCAGGCTAGAGAGCACAGCAGCACAGAATGAGGAACGTCTTCCTCAGCTTCATGCATATGAGGTCCATATCAGAGCAATGGTGGATAGGCCTGTCTGGAAGGGCAGGGAGGCATAGACCTCACATAAAAGACCAAAATAAGGGGAGGGAGGAAGTGGGCCCCTAGGGCCACCAAGGATATGGTGTAGGAACAGCTCAGAGACTTGACACTATGATCCCTGGAAAAGGAACCACTGGAGAATGGCTCCAAACCATGCTACATGTGTTCATAGCATTGTGGAAAGTGCAGCAGGAAGGCTCCATCGTCTGCCTGCTGGAGGCTGTGCTTTTTCAGTCCCATGGGTCACACTGGTGAACACTTTCTCTTACACCAGGAGGATCAGAATTCTAAAACCTGTGGGGTTGAATGCAAAAAACAAGTCGACGTCATTGCCTGCATCTGGAGTTAGGCCATATGCCTGCTTTTATTTTATTATGCTCTGTCATTTTCATCAATTTCTTAGATAGGCATTGCTTTAAGTGTTATCAAGTACACTATATAATAGGCTGAAGGGAAAAGGTGAAATGTCAAAAATATTCAATGTGCAATGTCCCGATTCTGTTTTTCTTTCAGTGAAAGTTTATTTGGCTAATAAGTTACAGTCCGTCATCAAGGAAAGCCAGGGTAGGGATTCAAAGCAGGAACTGGAGGAGCCTTGCCTGCTAGCTCATTCCTCATGGCTTGCTCAGCCACTTTTGTTACACAGCTGAGGCCTATATGTTTAGAGACGGCACCTACCCACAATGAACTGGGCCCTCCTACATCAATTAGCAATTAAGAAATTGTTCCCATAGACACAGGCTAATCTGATGTAGGCAATTTCCCAGCCAAGAGTCCCTCTTCCCAGGTGTGTGTCTAGGTTTGAATCAAGAGGACAAAACCAACCAGCACGCACACTATATTGTTAAGACTATATTGTTTTCATTTTTAGATTTCTCAGGTGGTAACTCAAATTGAGAAACACCTCAAATGTATTTTTCACTACCTATTTTTCCAAGAAATAAGGGAGAAGAGACTCCAGGAACAGTTTCACTGACAGCAGGGACTGCTCTGACTTATCCTTCCCAGTGCCCAGCAAATTACCTAACACATAGTTAAGTACTGGATAGATACCTGAGCGGTGAGTCACCACATAATTTTAAATTAAGGGCTTCCCTTTAAAAAAAAAAAAAAGAAAGAAAGAAAAATGTGCATCAGTTTTCAATTTAAGGTAATTCATCATATCTGAAGCCTCCTTATGAATTCAAGTAGTTTCGGGCAGGAGCCAGACACTGGAGCTCAGTGGATTAACACTCATTTGCCTGTGCTCTGGCTGCCAGTCTTCCTAGCAATGTCTGGGGAAGGTTTTTCTCCCTGGGAGCTGGGTAGTGAATTTACAAATCTGGCTGTCTGAGGTCAGACCTCCTGGGATGAACTCATTTGTTTCTCACCAGGAGATGAAGCATCACTTTGCACAGTGCCTTCTGATCCCTCTAAAATCGGGAGGCTCGAAGCTCAGGCAAAATCCTGAGAGCTGCTAGAATGCCTGTAGGTAAATCATTATCTGTATTTCCTGTTGCAGAGGGGAAGAAAAACAGCCTGTCTCTATTCAGACTGTACTGACAGATAACAAGATGGTCCATGAGCATAAAGAACAATTAACAAGTAATAAACCCAGGAACATAACTGTCACAGGAATGTTTATGAATGTGTGACTTGTCAAGAGCATTGGAATCGTCTTCTCACACAGCGCAGTGGGGACCTTAGACACAGAAATCAGCTTCTCAGAACCATAGTCTAGCTATCTGTATATAATGAGACTGCTACCTTGGGCAGAGCATTGGTGTGGCAAACATGCGAAGAGATGTTATGAAATGTGGTAGAAAGAGTACTATTCTGGTAGCTTTCTGTTTCACTTAATGCGCATTTTATAAAACTGTATCCTTTCCCATTCTTAATATTTTTCGTAAGTTAGTAAGTTCTAGCTGTACATCATCGTTCATATGAATGATACATATTGCTGAATACAGTGCTCGAGTTTTCTTCTACCAAACTAATATTGAAGTGGAAAAGATAGGTCTCATGTTGTTATAAAGAATTATATTTTCAAGTTCTAAAAACTCACATAGAAAATGTCTCATTTCCATAGTTGGCGCAGCCTATAATTTCAGCATTCAGGAAGCAGAGACAGGAGGATAACAAGCTTGAGACTGACCTGAGCTACATAGGAAGATGCTATTTCTAAAAAGAAGGGAAAGTTTCTTCTGGTGATTCTGATAAAGAAAACATTTGTCTCCTAGAAAATAGAGTGTCCAAAAACCTTCACTGGGTTTTCCCATTGTCTCTTGAGTTTCAGTGTCACTAACCTTGAAACACACACACACACACACACTCTCTCTCTCTCTCTCTCTCTCTCCTACTTCCTGGCCATTTTTTTAAAACCCTTTGAATAAATGCATACAACCATTTGAAGACATACACACCCAATGTCTCACTCTTAGGACCTTAATGGGAACCTGACAGGTTCACCTACCTCCATCTTCTTTGGGGATGCCACTCATGGCACAGCAAGATACACGAGGTGACAATGCTGGTATCTTAGGCAGAAAGACTTTTTTGAACTTTTAAATTTAAAAATAAGATTTCTGGAGTATGGAAATACCTCTGTGGGTAATACGCTTGTTGCGCACACATATAGACCTATGCTTAAATCTCCAACATCTGTCTAAAAATCATCATGGTGGCACAGTTCTTAACCCTAGAGGAAAAGAAATACAGATTCAAGGAGCTTTCTGGCCAAGTAACCTAGCATAAATGGCAAGAACCAGGTTCAGTGAGAGACCCTGTCACAAGTAATAAGGAGAGACAGAAAAAGCCACCCAATGATCTCCAGCTTATACACGCACGCACGCACGCACGCACGCACACAAGCGCGAGCACACAGACACACACACACAACACACGAGAGCACATGTGCATATGCCATGCATACAAAGAAAGAAATGAATTTCATGGATAAGTGTCATTGAAAGACACGTAAAGTTGATC